TACTAGGCCTGTCATGATCATGATTGCAATAATTGCTTTAAATAACTATTTAATTCTGTTCTGTCATGTCACTTACAGTGTAAGCCTATAATGTTATATTTTACATGGAATCATATATAATGTAATAATTCAAATTATAATAAAATAGGCCCACATAATTTACTTTAATGCTGTGAAATAATATTATATTAGTAAATCATATAATATAAAGTAAATCATATAATATTCTAATATAATATAATATGCAGTCTGATTAATCCCACAAACCTTTATTTTTTATGAAGTAAGTCACTGTCTATCTATGTACTGTGATTGAAATTCAAACCTCACCATTATTGTGGTTCTCTCAAATAATTGCGATTAGATCGAATAACCGTGATCGATCAACGCGACATGCCTAATGCTAACGAATGTCACGGTTTTGCATTTAATCATGTGGAAATCCGTGATTAACTGAGATTAATATTTCTCCAACGAAACAAAGCAGATAGTGATAAAGTACAGCGCTTTCAGTGTTTTCTTATTCAAGTGACGTATCATACAGATACAGCATCACTAATGCATCATTCTGAGGACTATTACATTGATTTAAATCTGCCCCCGTTCTGAGCTGACAAGCATAGAAATGAGATCTATGTCTGCTATCTGTGTACTCTGCCAAATGCTAATAATATTGTGTTGGACATGACAGAGAGCTTAACTCATCTCCTGATGGTCTGCATTAAAAACACACTCCAATTACCTGGTTTTAGTTCAACTGTTTTTTGTTGTAGTTTTTTTTTTTTCTTTTTTTTCAGAATGACATTTTAATCTGGAATGAGATTTGGCTAGCTGTGTGTTGTCAAGTTTTCATTATTTGTGCGTAATTTTTGTGAAATGTCAGCCCAGTGTGTTGATTAGCACTCCTGCGACCTTGGCTATCAGAAAAACGCCAGTGGCTCGGTGTGTGAATATTAAACAGGTCAGTCTAAATGGATTTCCAAACACAGTTCCACAATCTCCCAGCTTGAATTATTGATGATGGACGTTTATTGACCTGCATAAATCCATCAAACTCATGATTAGAAATAACATCATGGCTCGACTATATTTGCAGTTTCACAGCGTCAACACAAGGGGGCAGCACTAGATTCACCAAAATCATTTAATAACTGATGTTTGGTGCAAAAGGTCTGATACAAACCTCAAATGTCTCTGTGATTTAGGGCCCTTTCACACCTACCTTGTTTGGTCCAGACTTTCTGACTTTTCAGTTTGGTCCGAATCAAAATTACCAACGCATTCTCATCCTAGGGCGTCATCTAGTGACGCTTTTGACAATGAGTATACATCCAATGCACATGATATAATATATAATATAAGTGGGAAAATGTAAATCGAGGCGGTTGTTACAGCGAATACAACCCCTTCAAGCTCATTCAAGACCCCTCCGCTTCGCGTTGGAGTTCGCGGGGTTGTATTCGATATAACAACCGTCTTGCTATACATTATCCCTTACTTTTATTTCTATGAGGGCTGACAAGACAAAATATGGACTGTCAAGTGTGTTTAAACAGTGCGGCTACCAAACCAGTAGAACTACCATTTTTTTTGCAGCGCCGAAAGCGGACCTGTAATGACGCAATGACGAGCACTTGCTAGCCTGTTTCATTTACGTGTTCTCCGAATGCTAAAGAGGAGCCTCGTCTAGCCTCTGAAGGACTAGCCTCTGAATGACTTGGAAAGACCCGTCCGGCCAAGGAAGTATCCTTGACATTGAGAAACACGTTTCGTGTATACATAAATCTCCTAAATCTTCGTTGTCTTCATCGTCTACTTTTCTGTCGCTCTATATACGTCATCTGGTATCACTAACCCAACTGCCTATGAGCTACACTCTCAGAAAAAAAGGTACAGAAGCTGTCACTGGGGCTGTACCTTTTCAAAAGGTACACTTTTGTACCCAAAGGCTGCATATTGGTACCTTATTGGTACATATTAGCACCTAAAATGTAAATATTAACACCTAAAATGTACATATTAGCACCTAAAATGTACATTAACACTTAAAATGTACATATTAACACTTAAAATGTACATATTAGCACCTAAAATGTACATATTAGTACCTAAATATACATATTAGCATCTAAAATGTACATTAATACTTAAAATGTACATATTAACACTTAAAATGTACATATGAAGAGTTCAGATGCAAAAGCCTCTAAATGCCATTTGAAATTTTCTTCTTTAATGATGATTTTTATCAAGCTTGTATATTTAAGTTCAGTGATTTCACTTAAATGGCAATGATAATTACCTATTAATTGTTATTTAAGTGAAATTACTGAACTTAACTATACAAGTTTGATAAAAATCATTATTAAAGAAGAAAATTTCAAATGGCATTTAGAGGCTTTTGCATCTGAACTCTTCATATTAGCACCTAAAATGTACTTATTAGCACATAAAATGTACATATTAGCACCTAAACTGTACATATTAAAACCTAAAATGTACTTATTAGCACATAAAATTTACATATTAACACTTAAAATGTACATATTAGCACCTAAAATGTACATACTAGCACCTAAAATGGACAAAAGTTTACCTTTTGAAAAGGTACAGCCCCAGTGACAGCTTTTGTACCTTTTTTCTGAGAGTGTATGTACAGGCGAATTTGATAGACATTCGTAGCACCCAATAATACAGCTCTGGGTATTCGTAAACCACGCCTCAAATACAAGAAAATGAACATGTGCACTGAAAAAAAAAGTCTGTTGGATTTACATGATTTGATAGTGTACATCGGTCCCACATGAACCAATTAAGTTACACAAACATAATTTATTCATGTATCTTCAATTTCATGGAATTAAGTCATTTTAAGTTATCCAATTAAGTAGTCTCAAAGTGATTTTAAAAGGCTCCCTGATTGGCTGTTTCAGGTATTCAAATTCATATATTCATTTATCCAATTAAGATTGAATGTATTTGTCACACAGCTCAATATCTAGTCTATAGCCTGCAGTTAGCTACCAATAGTACTTGGTGGCATACTGAATGCTAAGGTATACATACACCATCAGCAAAAAGCAGTTGCTATGAACATAGTTGAATCGGTCCACAGCCTAACCAAATCATCCACTCTTCTCCACAATGGTAACCAACTGTAATTTAAATGGTTCTAATAATTCCAAAGTAATTGAACATTAAACACAATTACACACTAACCTTTTCTTATTTTCTCAAAAAAATATAAAATAACACTTCAACATTTATTCTCTCGTAATTCAGACATATGCAAAGCATGCTGGGAATTAACATGCACCGCCCAATTTCAGTTAATGCAACACAAATCATTCATGTTATCCAACACAAACAGATTAAGTAAACTTAAATTGTACATATATTTAAGCAGATTGGACACAATCAAATTAAGTTTGGACAAAACGTAAAGCAATTATGTTGCTTAAGCTAATTTTAATTAAGCGATTTGAACAAGCAGCAAAAATCTTTTTTTTCAGTGTGGTTTCTAGACCACATCTCATTCTCAATGATGCGTGGTTCGGCGTTAGCCAGGCTAGATGATGGTGACAGGATGCAAGTATGTCGTAAAGTTCTTTAGAAACCAAACCAAAACTTTCTGAAAGTATAAAATGTATCAAAACGTGAACTTTGGTGTGGACTTTCAGGTGTGAAAACACCCTTCAACTAGTTTAAAGTTGGCACTGACATTCTCAATAACACGGATGTGGAAAACAAGAAGACCCCAGTATTCTACTTTCAACGAGGTTTTAAAAAGTATAACATTTTTGGCCAATACCCCAAAGTTTACAATCAAAAATGAACTAAATTTCTCAGCAAATTCTTCCAATATCAAATGATCTGAGCTCTATTCTTATTGCATGTAGCTATTGATTAAGCTGCATCTATTTTCTTTCAACCTTCTAAGGAATTAAACATCAGAGACAATGTCGCTCGTGAAAATAAACATTACTGAGAACCCAGTTATGTCTCCTAAAAGATGAAAGAGCAGTTTTGAGCGATGAAATATTCATCTGCGATTAGATAAGTATCAAAGATCAAAGACATGTCATGTACACATGAAACAAATTAAATTCATGTAGTATTAACTAAAAGACCAACTTATAGTTTTTGAGGTTTAGAATTGATACATGTTTTATATCTATGGAGGAAAAAAAGGTTTGAGTGAATTCTCTGTATTTGATATCAAATCAATGCTGGAATATTGTCACGGATTGGATTGTAGAGTTTCGTGAGCATTCCCTTGTATTAATAAAAAGGGCAAATAATTAAGTGGTCATGTAACTCCTGTGTATTTCCTCAATGTTGTTATCACATGTCTTTAAATGATGCTGACACCATGGCCGGACCGGATTTGCTGTTGGCTCCCCTCGCAGTAATCCGTGATTTATTATCCACTTTGTGCTGACAGCTCTTCTTCTTCCCTCTCTCTTTCTAGGTTGTGTCAGAAGAGCAGGCGAGGATGAAACTGAAGCCCAGTAAAAGAGATTCCCCCTGGGGGAGCCATAGACAGATGTGGAGCCCCTGGAGCCACTGACCCCGTGTCTGAATGATCTATGGATAAAGACCACCAGCCCTCAAGAGTCAATCTTCTACTGCTGAGCATTTCTACATTGGCAGACACAAACAAATGTTGCTCTGTAATTCCTGAATATCTACAGTCTGAACATTCGGTTCCTGGGCTCCATTTTCTCAAAGTTACCTTGCCGTTACTAGAAAAACAACCTACCACAACTGTACTTAGTCTGAATAACTCTGACTCGGTAATTGCCAAGTGTCTACAGTCTGAACATTCGGTTCCTAGGCTCCATTTTCTCAAAGTTACCTTGCCGTTATTAGAAAAACGACTTACCACAACTGTACTTAGCCTGAATAACTCTGACTCGGTAATTGCCGAGTGTCTACAGTCTGAACATTCGGTTCCTAGGCTCATTTCTCAAAGTTTTGAGAAAGACTCAAAGTTTTCTCAAAGTTCCCTTCATGTCACAAGAAATACGACCAACTCACAATCCAGCAAATGCATCCAAAGCTTCCGGGAAAGCCCATGTATCCTCACATCACCTTCCAATCGCATGACCGTGAAAGAGGAAAGTTATGGCGTCTCATTGAGAATGCTGAGGTCGGGCAGGCAACGAGGTCTAACGGGATCAATACAACCCTGCTGATTAATGGGCAGATTTCTCTTCTCAGTTTAGTGTGTCAGAGAAGAATCATCTGCCAAGACCAAGATTGGTAAACCAGGTCTCTTCGGTCTTTAAGAGTCGCATTTCCATTGCAAAGTAACCCTGCTCTGGACCTTCTTTGAAGCTTTGTATCATTTAATACCGCGCCTTCTGATTTGCAATCAATACGACCCTTGCAAAGCAGTGTGAATCAAACCGTCAGCCTGGAGCAATTGGCTTTTTGTAGAATAAGTTATTTTCACTTTGTTCCTGGGTCAAGTTTACGTAATAATGGAAATGCAAAGTTCACCAAACTGGGATGAAAAAGCAGCAAAGCTTGAATCAAGGTCTCAGTTGCATTTCAATTGCTAAGTAAGTATTTTTTGTAACTTTTGCATCATTTAACACTGCTTCTTCAGATCCACAATCAATACGACCCTTTCAAAACTGTGGGTCAAGCTTCACTTTGTTCCTGGGTCAAGATTACGAAAGATCGGAATCGCAAATGCCTTGACGCTCCAACAAGCCCGGCAAAGCTTGACCTGCAACATCGTGAATCCTTCGAACCCAAGTGCAACTAAGCGGACGACATTGCTGTGAGTGAGTGCATGTGGTGGTGGCCCTCAGCATGGTGTTGCCACCACCAGACAAGCGGCATGTGTGTCTTACCACCTTTGTGATCATGACCAGCATGGCCTTCATGGACGCCTACCTGGTGGAGCAGAACCAGGGTCCACGGAAGATCGGTGTCTGCATCATCGTCCTGGTCGGGGACGTCTGCTTTCTTATCGTCCTCCGCTATGTGGCGGTTTGGGTCGGAGCAGAAGTGCGGACGGCTCGGCGAGGATACGCCATGATCCTGTGGTTCCTCTATATCTTTGTGTTGGAGATCAAGCTTTACTTCATCTTCCAGAACTGTAAGGCTGATCGTAAGAGTCTGGAGACTGTCGCCCGGAAGGCTTTAACTTTATTGCTGTCTATTTGTGTGCCAGGCCTGTACCTGGTTCTGGTGGCTCTGGATAGCATGGAATACTTCCGTACCTTCAGGAGAAAGGAGGACATGAGGGGTCGGCTCTTCTGGGTGGCTTTGGACTTGCTGGACCTGCTGGATATGCAGGCAAACCTTTGGGAGCCACAGCGGACGGGTTTGCCTATTTGGGCTGAAGGTTTGATGTTCTTCTACTGCTACATTTTGCTTCTGATTCTTCCCTGCGTGTCTTTGAGCGAGGTCAGCGTGCAGGGCGACCACGTGTCTCCGCAGAAGATGATGCTCTATCCTCTTCTCAGTCTGGTCACCATCAACATCGTCACCATCCTCATACGTGGCGTCAACATGGTGCTCTTCCAGGACAGCCGGGTCTCCACCATCTTCGTCGGGAAGAACGTGGTGGCCATCGCGACCAAGGCGTGCACCTTTCTCGAATACCGGAAACAGTCACGGGAATTCCCGAATCGAGAGAACGCAACCGGAATTCCCATGGAAGTCCAGCAGAACTCGGTGGGACATGGACAAGCTCTTCCGAATGCAACGAGCCTCCCACATGAACCCACTCCAGCACGGGATATTATGGATACATGACCAAGGAACCAAAATTAAGTCTTTGGTTTGATGCAAGAGCCAACAAAAAGCATCAAAACCAACAGATAAGATGAACCGGTGAACTGTTTTGAAGTACTTTGATACAACATTTCAGCATCATAAGGTGCTTTGTCCTCTTCTTGACGGAGGTAAATCAGCCAATTTTGAGCGGTGTTGTTCAAAGGAAAACATTCAGTGTCTTATAATTTGTTCAACTCCATCTTCTCCACAGTTAGCAATGAAGAACTGCTGTTTTCATTGGAGTGCCTGCGGTGCAAAATCCTTTCCCCATGAGACCAAACTCTTGTTCCCACGTCCACTTTTCTGTCAGACTGAAATTTCCCTTTCTTGCAAGTACAGAATGGTGGAACTAAAGTGTAATGAGTTTATTATTGAAGGAACTAGACAGATGAGGTTGATATTATGACCAAATGTTGAGGAGTAGTCCTACATGCCTGCAGTATGTGTTTGCGCTCGTGTTTTATGATGTGTTGATGACGTTACAGAAATTAGATTAAATAAGAAAGTAAGAAATTTGTATCCGATGAGTATATAGAATTTCTTAGGAAATAAGCGAATGCACTTCCAATTGATTGGTATATGGATTATTATTGTTGTTATCATTATATATGTATATACCACTTGTGTACTTGTTTTTTTTTTACATTTTTGTTTGAGGACTTAGCCGTTTAATAAAAAAAAAATTATAATAAAAAAAGTTTTTGCTATTGCTTGAAGGGTTTTTATTAGGGCTGTCAAACGATTAATCACGATTAAACGCATCCAAAATAAAAGTTTGTGTTTACATAATATATGTGGGTGCACTGTGTTTAATTATTTTATATATATATATAAATACACACACATGCTTGTATATATTTAAGAAATATTTTCATATATATACTGTATAAAAGATTTATAATTTATATGATATATAAATATTTTATATATAAATAATATTTTTTCTTAAATATACATGCATGTGTGTGTTTTTATATATATATATATATATATATATATATATATATACATACAAAATACTTATACACAGTGCACTAACATATATTATGTAAACACAAACTTTTATTTTGGATGCGATTAATCGCGATTAATCGTTTGACAGCCATAATATATATATATATATATATATATATACATACAAAATAATTATAAACAGTGCAACATATATTATGTAAACACAAACTTTTATTTTGGATGAGATTAATCGCGATTAATCGTTTGACAGCCATAATATACATATACATATATACAAAATAATTATACACAGTGCAACAACATATATTATGTAAACACAAACTTTTATTTTCGATGTGATTAATCACGATTAATCGCTTGACAGCTCTAGTTTTTATGCTAACAAAATGCAAAAAGTGATTTCTTAGTATTTTTGTCTTGTTTCCAGTACAAATATCTAAATATTCTTAAATCATAGATACATGAAGAAGCAAAAAGACTTGTTTTTCAGAAAAACAACAATTAATATGTTAAATAAAGTGTTTTTTGCTTAAAACAAGAGAAAATATCAGCCAAAAAAATCATATTTTTTTCCTGATATGACCCCACTGACATATTTTTTTCTACTTTTAAGCATTTTTGATAGCTTTTTTTTTTTCTTAAAACAATTTATCTTAAATCATTTTGCTTGTCAAGCAAATGTATCTTGATTTAAGAATGCTTAGATATTTGTACTGGAAAACAAGACACAAATACCGAGGAAGAAAATCATGTTTTGCAGTGCACACGAACAGACAGTCACAGCATTTCTATTTCAGCCCTTGTTTAAATCAGTTCCTCTAATGTTTGAGTAAACACACCGTGTCTTCGGAAGCGGATGGGAGGGTAAATGGCATCTGGGAAAATGAAATAAATTACACATGGCCCCATCAGCGGGGACTCACCTTACTAGAGTCACACAGCGTGAAACTGATTCCTAAAACACTAAGGCCTTTTTCTCAGTATGCAGTGCGAATGCGAAAACCATTTACTATCCACGTCTGATATATTCAGCATATGTAGCAACCTGATGTATTCAATTTCAACAACGTTAATTTATTGCCACCTGCATATGGTGGGCGTTCTCGTGTGGCATTGACTCACTCCTCTGCGTATTGTGCTTTTTGAGAGTTTCTCTCATTTAGCGTCCACCCACCATATGACAGCTTGAATATCCCTTTACCATACAATGTCTCATATGGCGACATATCATTCACTTCAAATTAACAGTATTTAGAATAAAACATGTATTGCATTATGTCATGTTTTATGGTATATTCATGCACCAACAGAAGAAACATGCTATTAAAATTGCATTGTTCATTAATAGTCAAAAAGCATTTACATGCACGGGTAAAAATTAAATATAGTTTCAAAGCAGGTCAGGATGTGCAACACAGAACACTTCATAAATAGTATAAATGATATCCGTCCCACACGTATGCATGCTTGCTGCATCTGTTAAGTTATATGCCGTGGTTCAGATAGTAGTGAAAAATTAGAAAATATGAATGTCTCCTTACAGCAGTGGAATTGCAATCATGCATTATCTAATTGCAATTTTGTATAGATGTGTTCATCAATTATTGAAGTTGATAAGTATCTATCAATTATAGTATGATACAAGAATGAGTTCCAACACTAAAAATAATTTAGTGTAGGATTTACTTTGAAACTATTTTCACTCATAAATTGCAAGATGCAATATATGTTGAAAGAAGTAGGATTAAATTAAAGGATAAAGAAAATGTTGTTTGTTTGTTATTGCCTGACAGAAAATCTAATAGGAAAAATAAAGCCCAAGGTCGGAACACAATAAGTGCAATTAAAATCTGACAACATGATGAATATGCTGTAATATTATATTTCAAAAGCCTCGTTTGACTCCCAAACATGAAAATATACTGTGTATCTGTGAGATGTGGATGCAATACCCACAGCTGCATATATCTTACTGTGCAAAAATATTTTTTTTATGTTGTTTTCTTTAATAAATATTAAAGATTCAGCCTTAACCTTCAGCATCTTCAGATCTATAATTCAGTAGTGTGGGTGTTTACCAATATTTAAGCACATACTGTAAATGCAAAAAGTGATATAATTAGAATTATATATATCTGAGCATGCAAATATTAAGGATCTGCTATAGCTAGTAAAAAGTTAAATGAAGTGAAACTGATTTTTGTGCACAATATTGAGAGATGCACGTGTTATCATTCACATTGGATGAAGAGAAAAGAAACGAAGGAACATTATTTTTCATTCGAAACACATCAATAAACCACGTTCAGATGCCAGCACCCCCGCAGGCACGCTTAGATTTGCTTTAACAACATTAAAGATTCAGTCTCACTCTAAAACCAGTCAAAGGGTGCCTAAGCCTTCAAATGTGTGTTTAGTGCTCAGAAAAGTGACAAAGATGGCAAAACTTGATCGAGGCGAGGCCATATGCATTATTTTTAAAACTACTATGTATCAGCGTTATATTTAAACTTAGGCCTATTCGTGGTAGCCCTTTAAAAGAGTCTAAAGGATGTAACCATTAACGCATGATGTACTGTAAGATATGACATTGGTTGTCAATCATGTGTTTTAATGGATTCAATTTGAAAATATACATTTTATTGGTTACTACTGGCAAAGAAAACCAGAAAATATCAGGGAATTTAAAATTTGTTCATTGAATCATGGATATATGCATAAAATCATAAAGCCCCTGTTGAATTGATAAAGTAAAGTTGTAACTAAACTAAGTAAGGACATTTCTAGTCAATATATTTGTTCTTGTAATGAGAGATATAATTGATTGCGAACTATATCATATGATTTTTTAAGAAGAATTTTCACGTATAAATCGCTTTTTACATTGCCGATGTGTGAACAGCTTGTAACGAAATAAAAGGTGATGTTCCCCAACTTAGGTTGTCGATGAGAGCCTCTTGTGTGAGGAACGCGGGACGTTTTTGCCGGGAAAATCAAAAGAATTTACGCGAATGTTTCCTTCTTTTTAGTGACAGAGAAACATTTATTTCTTCATGTGAAGAACATTTTAATAATCTAAAGAACGATTATTCACAAATCACAATAAAGAACCATTTGTGCATTGAAAAGTTTCCATAAATGGAACCATCGATACCAATAAAGAGTGTCAATCTACAGCCAGATCTACATCAGTCTATCATCAAACTATCATAACAGTGTATTTGTAATTAGCCTACCTCATCAGTCGACATGTTGTTGAAAGAAACATCCACATGATCAGATGCTGTTTTCACCGCTGTCGTTGTTGTGTGTTTATCTTGTTATTGAGGGAGGAACGTGCACAACACATCCAGACGAATCCAGCGAAACTACCGGAAGTAAGCGGGCGCCATAACTAAGCTGTTGATGGGTAGCGTTGCGCGCCTATGCACGGCGGTATTTCCGGTGAAACTTCCGCCGATCGTAGAGTCCATGCAATACCGAGAATTTATATTGAATTTTATACTCCATGGTTATACTAAAGAAACGTTAGTCACAAAAACAGATAAAACAGACACCCCTCGTTGTGTTTATGCTTCTTTTTAAAATTATATTAAATAAATATAACTATATATAAAATTACATCTAAACGTATGTACGTTTCATTTCAAAGACTGGAGGACAGTAAATTTTAAAGACTCTGCCATAATCCCGTTTTTCTCGGTTTTCCTCCGCTTAAATCTCCACAACCGGAAATGGACGAGCATCCTTGCGTCAAATGCGAAATTTATGCGTGCATAGGCTATAGCCCATTGTTTTAGTTGCAACTTGCGTCCACTGGAATACACAGCCCGCGATTTACGACTGTCACTAACGTTAACTTTTATAATGTCGAGTGGGAAAACATTTTCCGTTATAAAATGGCGGCAGTAAAATTTAAATTTGGAAGAGAAAACATGGTGAGTTAAATAAAATACCCGGGATCGACTGCCCCTGTCTGGTGCCATACAGTTCTGCTGGTATTAAAGGTTTAAAATAAATTAAATATAATGCAGTTTTTGCTATAATAACTCTTATTTAATGACATAAGTAAAAAAAAATATAATAAATATTTTTGTTATATTATATTATATTTACAATTTTAAAAAAGAGGGAAAAGATAGAGAGATAAAGGCAGACATATCAACTTTACTGTCACTTTCACAGCTGCTGTATTAGAAACACTCACAGCAGCATTAACTAGCTTTATTTGTCACTTGTGTAGTGTTATAAATGTACAAAAAAAACTTTTCTGAAGTGAAAATATGAAAAACTTTGCTGCAGGATTTACAATGTTGATGACCGTCATCATAGTCTGAGAAAATGGTCCGTATAACAAGGGTTTGTGAATTATGCATACTTTAAAATCAAAATCCAGTAATTATGAATGACTGTAAAAGTCCCAGAAATTCATTTGTTAAAAGGTACGTGAACCTTAAGCGTTCAGGCTTTCAGGTTACTGGCAATATTTCTCAGTTTCCTGTATGTTATGGATTTTAATACAATGATGCAGCACATTATCAAAAAGGCACTTTGCATTAATAACACTGAGGCAGATTTATAATGACAGAAAATGAAGGTGCAGCTGCTGCAATCACACGCTCGCCCGTAAATGTGTGACTTGGGCATCCTCCAAC